AGCTATTTTCTATTATTTTGAAATTGTCTTAGAGTTCCTACTCAACAACTTTATTCAGTTTCTACTATCTCTCTTCAATTTTAAATCAACTTAAATCTAATAATCTTAGGTATAATAAAAATCTTAGAATACTTACTCAGTCTTAAAAAGATTCAATCCATTCTGAAAATTCCTTAATACGACTAATAAAAAATGTTTCCTAGCTTGCTCTTGCGTTCTCTCGTGATTTCCTTTGGCCCCAGGGACGCCTCGCTTTCCTACGCTCATTGAATTTGGATGAGGGGATTGGGTATTCGTAATTTATATTATTAAAGGTGAACAAAATTGACAAAACAAATCCAATTAAAATCGAAGAAAATCAATCATTATTGAAGTTTGGTTTTATAAATTAAAAAATTGAATGCTTCAGTTCAAGTTTCAATTTTTTTTCCTTTAAAACCTTAACAAAACCCGAACCATACCTTTTTATTTTTTTAAGTGTATTTTTTATAATTAATATTAAACTAGTAATTAGTGTTTATTATTTTTAAATGTTAACCTCAACTAAAGTCCAATCCATGTCCAAAACACTTTAATAGAATTCCTAAGCTTACTTTTAATTTTGCTAATTGTTTTTAGAGTAAAAAATGATCCAGATTAAGGAGAGGTGTATTGCCGTTACTGACTAAGGAGAGTTAAATATTTCACTACATCCTAATTTGTAATGAAATTTAACCAGTGTTATTTATAAAGCACATACTCTAATGTTTATTAATAACAAGTGTGATTATGTTATTCATTTCTATTCATAAAAAATAAAGTTGGGATTGTGACTTGATTTTGGAATATGAAAGGAAAAAAAGAGTCAAAAAATTTTGAAACTTGATTTATGTATAAACCAAACTACCTAAAAACCAAACTAAATCAACCTTAATAAAAACTGATCATCCAAAGCCCACCATGGTTATAATTTTATATATATATATATATATATATATATATTTTGTTTCTTTTTTCCTTTTAAATATAATTATTAATTTTTTATAAACTATTATTATTTCTTTTTCCTACTTATTTCTTTGTCATTTGTTATATTTTTTCTCTCATCTCCTCCTTTTTTTTATCTTGTAGATGCTTTAAGTTCTCTATCATAATTTATTTATAATTAATCAAATTTTTTGTTTTTAAAAAATAAAAATTAGATCTTAACAGTTTCAACATTATTTAAACAATATTTAAGTAAAGGTAATTTTTTCAAAATTTAAGAGCCTATTTGTTTAATATCTCTCAATCTTATAAATTTCTCCTTCAGTGAAAAATATGTCATGAAATTAAATCCTCAAAATATATCATGATGAATTCAAATTATCATGGAATAATTTCTTCCTGGTACAAATTAAGTCCTAGAACTTGAAGAGGTTATGATTTTGTTATAAACTCAAACTGCTTTAAACTATCTTAAACGCAATCTTATTTTTTTTAAGTCTAAAAATAATTTCGGAGGGGATTGATATTACACCTTAGCTGAGAATTCTCTTTCACCATAAGATCAAGAAATGAGTCCAAAATGTCACCACAAACCTTGAAAACTCTTCATTGTATTTGTTCATACACCTCATTGTGGATTTTGGTGAACCACTCCTACACTCGGTCACACCCCTCATGATCTATGTTTCTAAGGGAAAAAAAACAAGGAAGAACAATGACAAACAATCAGAGCTCAACACCCAAAAAGAGGAGAAGACTATACGATTTTGCAAGCAATCTTAAGTCTAGACATGGCGATCTTGTTTTCTACTACAATGTGTGGGCTTGGTGGTACCCTAATGGTGGGGAACAAAAAACAATCTAAGCCAAGTAGGGATAGCTTTAAGGTACTTGCCACACAACATAACATAATTCGTGTCTGTCGCGCTCAATCCGGAATTTTTCAAGAAGGAAACTTGAATAAAAAATAAATGTTTAGGAGTCATCATCAAAATTTTACAGGTAATTTCAAAAAAAATTTTAATGCGTGGTCTACATAAAGAGAAAAGGATAAGAGAGTTAATTGTGTGTAGGGAAGATGTTAGGCACCCCACAACACCCATTCATATGAATGGTTACCTTAAGTTAATTGTATAAATTTAAATGGCTTAAAAAAATATTAATTATGCTTAAAAAATAAGATTAAAAAAATAAAATTTAAAAAGAAAATTTTTTATTTATTTATAAGTTAGATTTGATGTAGGATAAAATTCTAAGGCCTACATACCCTTTTGAGGGATCAAAATCCATGTAATTCAGGGTAAAATTGCTTGTCTATTAGTTGGAAAATTTTTTAAGAAAAAATAATTATTAATTTTTTTATGAAATAATTTTTAGTGTTGGTTTGTAGTTTTTTGTTTGATTTATAAATCTATAAGGACTTTAAAAGTCTCACGCAACTGGTAATTTTTAAACTTTGTACATGCGATAATTCATCGCAATGGAAAATTATAAATTAATAAACTTATAAACTTACATGGACTCTGAAAGCCTTACACAATCAAAAGGATATTAAACACTTTTAATAATACATTGTGATAATTTATCACCACACATGATAAATTAATTAATTTAAATAATTCACGAGGACTCTGAAGGTCTCTCGTGACAAACAGATTAGGAAAAATTTAATAGATGTAATGAGGAATCAATACACATAGATTTGAGATTTAAATCTTAAAATTTCTTTTGAATACCTTCCCCCATTTAATCATGACATTCACATAATTATTTAAAATGTAGAAATTCATCAAAAAAATTATGTTAAAGTTCCACACTCATATGATGTTATTATAACATGAAAGAAGAGAACTTTAAAGAGTAAGGCTCATGTGTAAAGATTCAAGACGAAGAAGAATAAAATAATAGCTATTGGAAATCATCTCTCGCACACTATATTCAATCACAAGAAGACAAAAATTTGCCATTCAATTAGAGGACAGGTCACATATAAAAGCTCAAAAAGATTATAGACTCAATCTTAAGGCTCTTTTATGAAACACTTGATCAATGTGAAAGCATGTTAGGTGAACATACCTTTAAAAATTTCTATTAATTTCTGTCTCCTATCCTCTCTCTTACACAGTTTTCTTGAGTCTTTCTAATTATCTTATATTTTATCTTTGCTTTCTTTTATATAAATCCATTCACTTAGATTTTTTCTAATATCTCAATCATATTGTGATCAATATTAATATTTTATATATTCTTGTATTATTATTATTATCATTACTTAGAGATTGAATATTAATTGTTATCTTTTCTATTATTATATCCTGATTATTATATTATTTTAAAATTTTTAAATCTTAATATTAGATATTAGATTATCTTAAAATTTAAATAAGATTAGACTATATTCTGATTATTTTAATTAGTATGTTGTGATTTAGTTTGAATATTTTTTTTTATTATCTTTGTACCCAACTCATACACACACACATATTTGTTGTAAAATATTATTTTTTTATTCTTATTATTTTTATTTTTTATTTATTTTATAATAAATATTACCTTATTTATTTATTAGGATTCAAATAAAATATGATGTTCACACCGCTAAAGGCGATATAGATCAATCAGGGGAAGATTGCTCGAGGGGTGAACTCAGAGTTCATAGTTACAAAGCTCAAGTCCCGATACCCTTCATTCTTCCATCAATTCTTGTGGCTTTCAACAACCCGTTATGTCTCTAATGGCCATCTTCTCGTGTCCCTTTATGCCTGGGGCACGTGTATTTATGCAGGTGGGTGCTTGAGTGCATGCAACAACCCTCTCTTCTTCTGCATTTTGTGGCTGCTCAAACTCCCAACAAGGTCCGATCACTGTTGTTGCGCGGACTTTGTGCAGAGGTAGTGAAGGACGAGGAGTAGAGAGAGGGAGGGTGAGAAAAGGGGGAGAGAGAAAGTGGGAGAGGAGAGAGAGATAATATTTTCTATATTATTAAAATTATAAAAAATGGTGAGACCTACTATATATATATATTTTGTGATAAAAAATATTAAAAAATTTAAATGTAAGACTCACATAACAAGCAGCGAATCATAAGAGTACCAAACAACAAATTTTTAATGTTAAAAGATAAAATTAATTTATAATTAAATTTAGAATACTCATAAACTCTTTGGATAAAATTGAAGAAAAAATAACACTCAATCTACAAATTTAATATGATGTGAGCCAAATATTCTTTTTTTAGTTACTTATAAATATTTCTCAATTGAAGTCAATTTTATTTGAGATATTGTCAATTATTAAATGTGAGTATTTTTTTTAATGAGAATTCAAATTTCAATATGTTTTAAAAGACTTGCTCCTTTTACCGAATTCAATTTCGGTTGGTGTATCAGATACATTCTCAGCCAAGTAGCCGAAGCTTCTCTTGATATTTTTAAGGCCCTCAAACCATCGGAATTTGGGCCATAACCGCCAACCCTAACCTCTCTACCCTCAAAACATCAGCGATGGAATTGTCGGCCTTTGGAGAGCCTTCAAGAGTGGACACGGACCCAATAATGACGATCAATATCTACAAAATTGACCAATCGGCGTTGCAGGAGATTTGAAGGCTCTCTTCAACTGCTCTATTTCCTGCGTCATTCGTACGGGTCTTCGGAAATGTCCGGTCCGCCCCTTTGAGTGCTTTATGGTTTTGGCCTTGCATTTATAAGATATTAATATCGCACCATATTCCTTAGAATTGTTTAGGATTGATGGTAATATGTGATTCTAGTACATTGTCGAGTATTAACAGAACAACTGCTAGAGCGCTCTCCAGGTCTCCCCATTTTTTCTTTATTAGCTTTCTTACACTCAATTTTTAGCACCTTTGGCCAATTTTTTTTTTTCGACCAACTGTGCTATCCGGTCCTCTTTTTGGTTACGGGATAAATAACGAGGAAACCGCTAGCACAATATGGACAGACATTTTTGATCCTGGCTTTATACCCTCTGGATAAAGTATGACTGTGAAGAGGCACAGAAGACAATACGGCTACCCAAATTTCCTGAAATATTAATCCTATTCCTAACTGAAAAATTACAAAAAAGGCCAAAACCATAATGTTCCTATACTTGGACTACGCTTCTACATATCCTACTAACTCTGGGAAATACCCTCATTACATAAACAAAGGGCAAACCATCTTTACATTGCATAATAAAAATGACTCTAAGAAACTAAGATTAACAAGAAAAATGTTAGCTATACGATGATCTGACTGTGTTATCCTGCTATCTTAATAGTCTTTGTCGCCCCATTTTAAGCAAAAACAGATCCACAAGACAGGGCCATCAAGCAGAAGGCAGCTTGTTCCACTTCCCCTAACTCCCTCCTCCTCCTCTGCCACCTCTGTTTCTTCACCACAGAATTTGACCGTTGCAGCAAAACTTCCTCGCCTAATGCCATCAGCTTCATCTTCACAAGCTCCTTCAAATCATCCCCATCATCACCAACAGCTTCACCACCAACCCGACTCTGTGTTTTCTCCCTCTTCTTTTCCCGTCCTTTGTTCAATCTCAATCCCACTGTTGAAACCCTTCTCTTCCTGTATCTTATCCCGCAAGCATTGCACAGGGTCTGCGTAATTAAATAATTTCCCGTTGACCGAGATAAAGCAACAGAAAAGTAAGACAAGGGAAAAAGCAATGAAGGGTAGCTCATGCTTATAAGAAATTATATTTAAGAATTGAAGGGAACAAAAGGCAAAAATTAAAGATTGTACATGCACGACCTCTGAAAACACTATCACAGTCAACACCACTACTAAGCCGACATGGCGACAATGTACAATAGCACATTAGCACCTGAAAACAGCGACGCTCAAAGAGGGGGTGAGTTTCTCTCTTTTACTTTTTTTTTCCCCAACTTTCTCTTCACTGTAAATTTAAATCATTTAAATTAAATCTATACTTCTAGAAATTATTAAATTTAAAAATTCAAAATTTAATTTAAACGTCCAAATCTGTATTGATTTTTCTATGCTCTCATTTGCTGTGGAGAAAATCCAACTCCCAAAGGGAGCACGTGGTAAATGGGGATCTGCTGGGTATTTGATATTCGCGCAACAGAAAAAAAGTGGGAAAACCAACTCAAATCCCGCAAATTGCAAATGATGAAGGGGAAGCAATGGCAAAAATTGCCCCAAATAAGAGTATAGAATACACGTACAAGATGAAATATACCAAAACGAACTGAAAAGACCGGGCAAGTAGTGAAAAAGCATCGTAAAATCACCAAGGCGAAGAGAGAATTAAAAGATAATGCAGTAGAAGAAGGCGGTGGGGATCACCTTGGGCCCAGCAGGTCCCCCTCTCCAGAGTGGGGTCTTAGTGGTTTTGCAATCAGTGCAGCACTTCTTGTTATCCATCAATTCCTTATAAGACGTGTCCTGAAATAGAATCAAAGCACAGAACCATTTGATGACGCAAAGAATCACCACAAATGAAACAGTAGAAGGCCATAATTTGCTCAGAAGCCCACCTTTTCCTGGAGATCCATCGTGATCATCAACCCACTGAATGAAGGGTTCAAGCAACCAAACAAACCTGGGGGACAGCAACTGACCAATGGGTCGTCTGTAAAATTTTCTCCAGAAGCAAGAAAAGGAGTCGAAAGGCGAAGCCAAACAACAAGGAGCTGAGAATAAAGAAGACTCACCGAATCACGGAGACGAGAATGTCAGTGTGCGCAGGTCGTGGAAAAAAGCAACCCAGCAATCCTCATGCGCATACTGCTGAGAGTACAGTACAGAGCAAAGGAGGTGGATAATAGACGCGAACCAGCGAGCCTGGGAAACCGACAGTGTGAATGTACATAAAACCCTAGCGCGGTGGCATCCAAATGACGATAATGCCCTCGTTCTCCCCAATAATCCAATACACTAACAACCCTTCAATGGCATCAATCTTGCGAAGTTGGAGCACCCACATGTCACTTAGTAAGCATCTAATAATGATCATCATAGCCCCCGGGAGCCTATCAAACGAGCTTAAAGTGGATAAAAGAAAATTATCTCTTCATGTCGTTTTACTAAGCCACAATCCCAATAATCCGACATCATTTTTTTATTAATATTTGTCATCACTTAACAAGTGCCTTACTTAAAGTAGAGGGTTAGATAATTTATTTATTAAAAAAAAATTTTAGAAAATTTTTTTAATTATATATTAAAAAACAAAAAATATCTTATGTTTTAAAAATCTAACTTCAAAAAAAATGTTTTATATTTTTGAATGAATATAATTTTAAGGATAAACTTTTTATCTTTTATGGGACATGTGGAATATTCATTATATTTTTATATATTATTTTTATTTGATATTGTTTTTTTTTTCCAAAATTGCATCACTTGAGTTTAAAATAGAAAGAAAAGTTGAAGCTCCCCCCCCCCCCCCAAGAGAGCGTCAATAAACTTCAAGCTTTTTATTGATTTTGGTGACCGCACTAAATTTTCCTTACAAAAACTAAAAAAAACTGAAAGAATACTCTACTAAATCATATTGATCACTTGGAGGCAGATAGTTACACGAAGAATCAGAAAATAAAATCAAACTAAAGAACAGTAAAAACCAATAGTGTAATATAGCAGACAATGAAGAGTTCGTACATTTCTTGGATTCACAAAAAAGCGTGAGATCTAAGTGTACAATTTAACGATGCATAATTGTTCGCCGTGCAGTTTTGATATTCATTCTCCCGAAAACTCTCGTTTTAATGTACTTATGGCTGTTGGAGTCATCATATTCAGCGAACTAATGTGACGAGAAAACGCTCACCAACGAAAGCACTCTCTCGAGTCTTTGGAAGGAATGCCAGATGAGGTGTGTTTGGTGTCATTGACTAAAAAGAGCTGCACTTACGTAGCAGACAAGAAGTGCTGCCAAAGGAAGGACAGCAAAGCTTCAGGCTCTAATGAGGATCTCTCTTTTTTTTTTCCTGCTCTCCACAATAAAGCAAAACTTTATTCTATTTTTCTCGAACTCAAGATTCAATCACAAAAACCACGAACATCAAAACATGAGAAGGCACCTATGAACTTTGAAAGCATCGTTCCATTTTCCACTGTAAAATAAAATATTGATGTTCCGAGGAATATTATTACATCTGAAACATATACCACTACACCATGACCTTGCAAAGGGTAACTAAATGTCAAAGCAAAAGGGTCAACAACCACACTCAGGCCAATCATGTTGATTGTCTTCAGATATAAATCGAACAATAAATAAATAAATCAAGGGGATGATCAGAGAACCACGGTTCTTGAATGGTAATCTCTGATTAACTAATCATAAAGGTATATTAGCTCAGCTTATGAGTCCCTGAACAGATCACAATAGTAGTTACTAGTGAGTTGGATGTTTGGCCCAATACATAATTGGACTGTAATAGGGACAGTATTGGGAGCTAGATTTTAAGCGGGGACAAGCTTAACTTTTCTTTTGGGTTGAGATAGATACAGCCAGGTCTCTCTAAGAGCACTTCGAATTTGACTCCAAAATGTTGTGCCACTGCCTCTGTTTGTTTTGTACACACTAGAACTTGGCCACGAAGGCTGATAGTTACTATCTCCATCACGAGCAGAAGAGTTGAAGAACTCGGCCAGAAAGTTAAAGTCCATGTCACCCCCTGCATAACTCACTCCCTCTAGTTGTCCAACATGTACTGCTTTCACCGAAATGCGATGTAGAGGCGGACAGGACGCTCAAACCTGAAGACGAAGATAGGTTATGTAAGAGTCAAGACAAGGAATATTGAGAAACACAGAACAAAACTTTGCAATACCTTGGGAAGCGAGAGGTAGAAGTTCATGTTGTGGCAGGCCCTGCCTAGCTTGAAGATTTTCAGCACTCCCCACCAAATGCTGCAGCCCAAAAAACAGGGGACTCAGTCACTTCTAATTCAAAGGTGTCATTATTATTGTAGCATGTTCATATTAATCATGATAATGTGTACATGAACCATGAACGAACCACTAATATGAAGAATCCAAGAATCAATCAACGAAAATAGACACATGCCTGTGGTTCTGAGACAAGAGGACCTGTGGAAAGAAACGGTTGCGTAGCATCGTGTCTGGCACAGGCTTTAGCAGCATGGAGGATAAGCTTTTTCCACGTCTTCTCTCCAATTTTGCCAAGGTCCTATTATTCGAAATGTAATAAAATCAGAAACATAAACGTTAGAAGAGAATTATCAGCAAATTAATATGACCTGTTTCAGTTGATTTGGGTCTGTATTAAGCCGATTCAAGAAAGCCTCGACCGTCGTTACTCCTTTGGATTGCAGCTCATTATGTCTTTTCCCACCTTTTGCTATGCCTTCCAAACGCCAAATCTCATCATTTAATGATGGGATGTCATATTTCTGGTAGCCTGGAATCACAAAATCAGACGTCAGTCTACCCTTACCTTCACCCTTCCTTCACATGAATAAACAAAACAGTGATGATAGACCATCAAAACGCATACTCAGTCCACGGCCATCCTTGACCTTAAAAGGCTGGCTCACACCTTCCCTAACGTTTGCTGCATTGGGATTTGGTTCCGCAACTCTGGCTCCTAATCTGAATTTTCCGGTTCTATCGTATTTCGAGCCATCGGTGACACGAAGGTTGGTGAGAATACCCACTCCATTTTTTAGTCTCAAGAACCTATCCCCATCAAGTAAAAGGCCACCTCTTCTTCTATCTCTTAATATGCTGTCACGGAAATCCTCTGAGCTCCAATCCTCACGACCGTCGGAACCGAAGCTGCCCTGCAAAACGCACAACTCTATCCTTGTGTTGGATAGAGGACCTTCCGTGACTATGCGGTCCTGAACTCCGGCACCATCACACTGATACAGAGCAACTTCAAGTGAAGCCCCGTTCTTGGCCCCAAGCCTAGAGCCTGTATAAGCCTCGCTAGGCGATTCCTTGAAACGCAATTGGAGATCTTTCCGTCTTCCTTCAGGCGCTGCTCTCTGATCAAGATTTTGTCTGCTAAATGTTGGGATATAAAGTTTTAGATGGATACCCTGGAGGGAATTTATATAATGATGTTAGGATAAGAATAAGATAAACAGAAACAAACCTTGGCAATCGGAGAAGGTGCCGCTCCAGTACAGTCGTAACTTCTTCTCCTACCTGATTGAGGAAACACGCACAAATTAAAACAATAGACACTCTAAAGAGTTGCAATGCGAGATGGAATACTGGTCCTTTAGACCATTCCCCTGATGGAGGTGGCAATCAGATCAACCATATAAGCTAAAACGCGTTTTTGTAAAATCTTAACTGGTTTTCATCCTGTAAATACGTGATGCACGGCCCTCCCATTCTACATACTCAGACTGAGACCGGTACCTAATATAATTAAGCACTAGCCAAAAACACCAGACATATATGGCTGAAAAGGGCATTCCTTTTAGTCTTCCACCACTTTCTCAAATTAGGAACAAATAAATGAGGGAACTAAAGCTTGTGTTTTAGTACGCATACTAAAAGCAGGCACACCTGGTAAATAAACAGGGAGTCGCTACAATAAACGGAAAAGGCTCAATTTCTTTCAAAACCATAGCATCGCTCGAAGAGTAATGAGATTGGAATTTCGTTCCTACCATATTCCTAATCCTTGGTTCTAAAATTTTTTTCACCAAGCGGTCTTCTTTGATTGTGTCACCCATGGCTCTGCAAATCAAGCATAACGCAACATTTAGTGCTGTCGAACGACCCAGCAAGCATAAAGAAACAAACAAAAAGTCAACATGTACCCGATCAGTGTTGGAACTGAGCCGCCTGGTCTCCTCTTGGACATGTTACAGGGAGCTTCACCATCCCTGTCGATCCATGGGTTGTGGTGGCCTTTTCGATGCTGCCATCGATACAACACTTGACTATACGGCGACAAGGACTCCTCAAGCTGAACAAGAAGTTGACTATGAAGTATGAACAAAATTTCAGAACTCAGGTTACTGTAACAGGTATCACTCAAGCTTAAAATAAGAAAGCTTCTATCTATAAACAACAACCCAGATGATATAACAATGACCCCTCAAGAAAAAAACAAGAAAGCATGTATCGATAAACAGAGAGATGATATAACACTCTATGACTGCAACAGGGATTAACTCGTTACTGGTAAACTCTAAAGAGAAGTGCCGGGATCTGGCGTTTATATATCACCAGCATCTAAAACGAGAAAGAACGGGGAAAAGTTATTCTCATTACCGAGCAACTGCAATTGGTCGGTCCCACACGCTTAAAACTTGAGTTCATGAAAATTTCCAGAGCGGGTAGCAGAGAGTACGGAATAGTCAAGAAAACGAGTTTGTGTCTATATAACATGAAATTGCATACATGATCTCAAATTTATAGAGAGTGTTGACTTGTATTTTTTATATTTTATATTTATAAGCTATAAATTTACCTCAAAATTCATACAAAATGTGATTTAGTTTTAGTAGAAAGATTGGCGTGTATTTTCACAAAAAGAAAGAAAGAAAGAAAGAAAGATTTGTATGTATTACTTGAAACAACACTAAAAATCAGTATATCAAAATATAATGTAAATTTTACATGAGTTTATAAATTATTACACTAGCATGACTCATCTTAAACTAGTTTTAAAGGGACAACCACACAATAATTTTAGTGCTTCTGATCTTAGGAATGAGAAAAATTCATGCACCCAATTTTCCATGACTTCGCGTTTTGAGGGATCAAGTATTAAAAAAAAGATGAAGAGAAGTCACGACAGTATGTGTGTTGAAAACAGAAACCATTTCACACATTCATTGTGGGGAGAGAGAGAAATCATTCCGGAGTTTTGGTCTTCACTCAAGTCAAGAGCCGGGCAAAAGAAAGCCGAAATCAAGCTAAGGGGTCTGCGTTTGGCTTGATCTCCAAAAACATCCCTTTTCCCAGAATTTTTGTGGAAGTTAGGACTCACGTTCTTGGTAATTAGAAAGAATCTTCCTTCATATTTGTGCCTACGAACAAATTGCAACACGGTAATGGAATCCCATGTGAACTTAAAGTTGTCATTTAAGCGAAGTGTGTTCTTGCAGAGTTTGGGGCACTCTTAATTGTAAATTGTCTAAACTTTTTAAATGCAGCTCACCGTGCGCAAAATATTCCATTGCCTGCAAATAAATAAGGCACTCTCGGTTACATGTTTGCCCGTCCTTTTATTCGTTTGGTTTTTTAAGTAGGTGGCAAAGTAACTGCGCACGGCATTGACATTTTACCAAGAATACCCAGACTACGATATCTGTATCATTAGTTTCGTCAAGAGAAAAGGAAAAAATCATTTGTACCGAACACCGAGACTCTACTTTTTCTACCACGAAACTCCAATTTTTTGGCTCTACTCTTGTTCTCCTCCTCCCACGCTTCAATTATTAGTGGACATTAATATATGTAAGAAGATAGTCTGAATTTCTTGAATGTCAAACTATTGTCATCTTGCGGCATGGATAGTTTTTCCCCCTTTCTAGTTACAATAACTAACACATAAGCAGTTTGCTGTTTGTTTTCTTCATTCTGAAACGATGAGGAGGAGGCGGAGAAAAAAGGAAGAAGATGGGAACAATGAAATTATGAAAAATAAGGGAAACTATGATTTTTGTGTTATTATGATGGAATAGATGATACCAGCAGTATTTCTCTGTATCCGGAACCTCTGCGACAGCATTCCTCTGGTTTTATTTTTAGTATTCTTAAGATTTTGCTTAAATTTTTTTATGAATGCAGCATAGGCGCCTCAGAGAAAAGGGCAGAATCCAAATTCCTTTTCTCTGCATGGCAACAATTTCTCCACTGCAAGTGATAGTAAAAATGAATAAACGGTAATAACAGTAAAATGGGCAAGGCTGCTTTTGAACAACAACAACAAAAAAGAACTTTTTTTCACATTGATGTTTGCGCACGAAAGGCTTTTACAAGAAAAATCATCAGCAAAAACTTTATTCAACGACTTCAGAACTACTCTATTGAGTATTGACAGGACGTACTTACAAGGAGTAAAAGGACAACAATGTGTACACAGATACATTTGACACCATGTATACAAGGACTCCATCCTCTTGGTTCTCTTCCTTGCAATTGACAATGAAAAAATAATAATAAGAAGAATAAAAAGAAGCCAACATAGTTCCAAGACATCCAGGGAACTACAATCAGCCTAATAATTCTAATAGTTATAGTAAATTAGCTTTGCCATCCTCCTAGCAACTGCATCCCTTCTAACTGATATGACCCATTTGAGAGCGGTACGAATCTTGTACCACACTGCTCTTGGTTTCTCACTTCTGGCTATACCCCCGTTAGAAAGACTGCCAAGCTCTGCTCCACCATATGGATTGAAGTGTAACCCATTTTCTTGCCCCCAATTTGTGGATTGAATATGTGGGTTTTCGTATTCTGTCCAAGTTGATCCAATATGGGGCCAACTATGCCCATCAGTTTGCATTCCAGGGAACAATTCACCTTCTGCTGAACTGTTCTGCAGCATCGGAGCCAAGTCTGGAAATGGACTGGCATATACTTGGTCATTTTGCATTCCTTCAACAGCATATGGTTGATAAGAACCTGCCCATGTTTCAATTTGAGCTGCGCCAGCGATCATAAACTTAGAATCACAAAGTGGTAGAGGGAATTAAAGTAAAATGAAACAGTCAAGACCTATGTATACACCTTGCTGTGCAATTGGGAAATTAAGCTGCTGGAGACCTTGATCTGGACCACTAGCCTGCCAAGCTTGTAGATATGTCCGTGACCTTGGAAAATTTAAATGTGTCTGATCACCAACTGATTTCAAATCACCCAAATTTTTGTAAGCATGCTGCTTCATCATTTCCACCAAACCCTGCCAATGGAATAAGAAGGCAACTCACATTTAGGCGTTCAGAGATCAAATACAGCCAAATTAGAATAAGATCGGAATATACCCTCTCATTGGGTGCGAGAGCATCTGGAGAATAATAGTTTTGACCATCAAACGTCACTCCTACAAGGATGTAAATGGAATTGAAGAGCAGGCCCACTGGTTGTTCTGCTGCATGATACATGTAAAGGTTGTAATCATCTATAACACATTCCTTCGCATGTTCAGTAATTGCCACCCATGACTTCGTGGGAATTTTGCCAACTTTCTACAATTCCAGAGCCAAAACTCATATGAAAATACCAATACATGTACGAATACTCTTAAAGCACTACATAAAAGGTTAAACAGGTATTGAAAAGAGAGTGAGAAGGAATACAATCCCTTATTCACTTACCTCATGCAATGAAGATGGGTTAATGATGTAAGACCGCATAAGATCCCCGACCGTCCTTATTCCATGGTCACATAGTCGCCGGTAAATTATACCATTTTTGGCTATCTTCTCTAAACGCCATACATCATCTTCCAAATGCGGGGGGTGATGTTTCTTGTACACTGAAACGACCAACAAAAACCAAAATTTCAGTGTTAAAAACAGTAGTCTTAGTCTTCGTTCAGGTAACAGGTGAAAAGGGAGGTTATGATTATGATTCAAGACTTACGCTCTCCCCTGTTATCTTTTACCACGAAAGGTTTACTTACACCTTCCTTGATGCTTGCTCCACAGGAAGTTAGTTGCAAAGCTTTGGCTCCCAAGCTGAACTTTCTGCTTCTTGTCCAGCTCGAGTTGTCAGTGAACTTAATTTTAGAGATACAACCAACTCCATTTTTAAGAGTTAGGATCCGATCTCCATTCAGCAATGGCTCCTTACCCTCCCTTTGGGTTAGGACATTTGCATTGAATTCTTCTTCAGTACAATCCTCACACCTTTGGGAAAAGAGCTCACCATTGAGGGCGAAGATCTCTACCTTTGTAGAGGACAAAGGACCAGTGCTCACTACAGATTGAGATCTAACATCAAAAAGAGCAATCTGAAGCGGTGTCTCCTCGTCCTCAGCTATTACGTTAGAGAGCGTGAATATTGTTTCAGGCGGTTTGTTAATAAAACGCAACTCTAAGGGTTTGGCTCCAGATGTGCCACCCTGACAAGGCGATGCTCTGTAACAAATTTGACCCAAAATAGAATATAAAATAAATCAAATCATAGGCCAATAATACTTCAAATATCTGACGCCTCCGGAAGTGTAACAAGTTTATTTCTTTGACGAACAGACCAACCTTGGAATCAGGTATTCCCGTATTTTGCGTTCCACCTCTTCTCGCACCTAGCAGGAGAAACACATGAATCATCAAGCAGATAATTAAAGATTTTAATATGCAAGTTCATATATTTATTGAAGCTAGCTTTATCTAAAGCAGTGACAAAACCAGGATTTAACTAAGAGGAGATCATATTAAAAAACATATATACTATCGTAAATTTTAAGAGGAACATAATTATATAATATTATGAAAAATCTAAAAATTTGGAGGGCTGTGGCCCCCGTGTTCCTGTCGACAAGTTTCCTGGAGGAGGAAAGGACAAGATTACGAGAAGCTAAAGACTACGCAAGATTATGGAATTGACAAATAAAGAAGGAAAAGATGAACCGGCGAAAGCTCATATTCTGGAAATATTATATAGCAAGCACAAGGGAAAAATAGAGCGTGGGAATCAGAGGAATGCATTAATGAACACTTGTCGATTGCGGAAACCTGGAGAAGATTGCGGAAGGCATTCTGGATGGGTTGGCAATGGAGCTTGGTTTTGAAAGAAGATGCTCAAAACTAGCTGAGATAAACAAAAAACAAAAACAAAAACAAAAGAATCTTCTTCGACCCCGTATTCCTTTTCAAATTTAATAGAGTAAAAAACAAATGATACCAGTCTTCGCAGGAAAGGTTCCAAGCAGGAATCCAGGTCTTTCTTCAAGAATCCGTTTATAATATTTTCAAGGCCGCTGCACAAAAACCACAAAGCCAAACTTAGACCAACAACCCAAGACACGTGAATTAATGGGAAGGAATAGAATAGCAAGTACCTGATGGGAGGTTGTCTTGAATCACCATTTCTCCCTCGTCTTGACTCTCGAATTGGAACTGGATGATCCCCGCCATTACCCTCCGGCTGATGAGATTTCCTTTGAGATACCATCCAAATAATCAAGAAAATTAATCAATGACAGAGTCGCAGCACTCAAAACCCCCAATAAACTAACTTGACATTCCGTGAGAAGAACCACTCGGCTCAAAAGGCTTTTATAGGGAAAAAGAACGATAACATTGACCATAATGCAAGAAGAAGATGCAAGGAAGCATCGTGGAGCGGCGCTGAGAACCGCTAACCCGAGTCAACGTCATTTTTCACCCGCCCCCGGGGGGGGGGGGGGGAACCTCAGACATACAAATACCTAGAAGTTAAAACAATTTCCTGTGGGGAGAGGAAGGAGTGGAAGAATTGTACAACTTGGAAATTCAAGATAACTAAACGCTATCGTCCATGCGCGTCGTTGTGGAAGAATTGAAAGAAAATGGTAGGGGTCCAACCGTCCAGTTTGGACTTCAGGAATAGTGGTAGACTGGTTGTGAACGCAGAAAAGGAGAGGACAAAATGATTATTGTGGGCTTCGTTTAGATGTGAAATCCGCAATATTTGGATGTAGACGACGCATTTACGATTGGGAGTATCGTGATCCTTTCGTACGGCAGCCAGGGCATCTGAATCACCATACCCCAAAACACGTGTTAGCTTTGAGGAGCTTTCTCTTGATTTTATTGCCAAGAAGTGATACATTTTATGAGAAATAAAGTTAGGAAAAAAAGCTTCATAGCTCTCAAAGTTGATCTTGAAAAGACTTTTGACAGACTTTTTTGAGCTTTCATTGAAGATACTCTCCAAGCCATGGGCATAAATTCTCATTTTAAGAAGATCATCATGGCAGTGGTCTCTTCTCGCATGAAAGTGCTTTGGAATGGTGAACCATCTAAAGAATTCAAACCTACTCGTGGCATTAGATAAGGGGATCCTCTTTCTCCTTATCTTTTTGTACTTTGCATTGAACGCTTAAGTCATTGCATTTATAGTAGTATCGGTGACAAAAATTGGAAGCCCATTAATTTAACAACTAATGGACCTTCTATTTCACATTTATTCTTTGCTGACGATCTGTTGCTTTTTGCATATGCTTCTCTCACTCAAGCTGGGATCATTCGTAAATGTCTTAATGACTTTTGTATTGCTTCTAGACAAAAAATCAACTATGATAAATCTAAACTCTTTTGTTCCAGAAACATCAATATCAATAGAGCCTTACAACTCAGCAATGAATTGGAAATTCCCCTTACCGAAAATCTTGGCAAATATCTTGAGATTCCTAATCTTCATGAAAAAGCTTCTAAGTTAACTTTTGCTCGTTTTATTGAAAAAAAAACTAATTCCCGTTTATCTTCTTGGAAAAGCCGTTATCTCAATATTATAGGAAAATCTGTCCTTATTAAGTCTGTGCTCTATTCTCTTCTAAGTTATATTATGCAAACTATGCTCCTCCCTGATAATGTTCTCTCTGAATTAGACAAAAGCTCCTAAAACTTCCTCTGGGACTCTATCGATGGAGCAAAAAAACCACATCTTCTCTCTTGGGATAAGATCACTAAAGATAAGAAACATGGCGGGCTTGGGTTTAAGAGAATAAAAAACCAGAACATCGCTTTCATCATGAAGCTGTGTTGGGGCATTATTACTAAGACCAACTGTCTTTGGGTTCGAATTCTCCGTGATAAATACAAATGCAACAAACCCCTTATCCCTATGGTTTACAAACCAAATTCATCATCTTACACATGGACTAGTGTTTGTAAAAGTTTGGGATATTTTTAAAGCCAATGTTGGTTGGAGAGTAGGCAAAGGAGATCAAATATCTTTTTGTACGAAAGGTGGTCACCTCTCCCCGAGCCTCTTGTCATATATGCTTATCATAAAGTTGAAGCCATCCTTCATGCCAAAGTCTCTGATTTTCGCGCAGCTTCAGGAGGTTGGCACATTGATAAATTAAAGCATTACCTCCCCTCGGATGTGATTAAATCCATTTTGCTTGTCCAACTGCCTAACCCTCATGGAGATAATGATATTCTCGTTTGGAGATCTTCTTCTGACGGCAACTTCTTTATCAAGTCAGCCTACAAAGCTATTGAAAATCAGGATGGAAATTGCAACAAAAAAATTTGGGATACTATATGGAAATGGCCCACCTACGAGAAGATCAAATACTTTCTATGGAAAGCAACTTGGAATCGACTGCATATAAACTCTAATTCTTCCCATTCTGAATGCCCCTTCGGCTCCAATCTCCCTGATAACTCTATCCACATTCTGCGTGATTGCACTAAATCAAGGAAAGTATGGATGAAACTTGTAACACATTCTAAGCTTAACACTTTCTTTTCTCTTTCCTTTCAGGATTGGATTCTTTGGAATGCGAAAAATAATGTTGGTAATGCTAATACCAGAAGAATCCCTTGGAAGAATCTTTTTGCCCATATTTGTTGGAACATTTGGAAAGAGCGCTGCAAATCTATCTACTCGGAAGACCACACTCTTCAGAAAGACATCATTTTCACTTGCACACAGGACATAATCAATGACCTCTACCTTCAATCTCAAATTGGAATTATGCAGATGAATCAAGATAGATCCTTTACTAGATAGATTCCACCAAAACCTGGTTAGATCAGATTGGATACTGATGGTTTGTTCTCCCCAATAGAGATGCTTCTTGTGGTGGCCTCATTCGTGATGACTCAGGGAACTGGATTAAAGGCTTTACTAAAAGTATGGGCTATCATCCTACCACTGCTGCTGAGCTCTTGGGTATTTTTAAGGGATTAAAGCTTTGTTGGGAAAATAACTTCAAACAAGTTAATGTATACACTGATTCCTTAAAAGCCCTGACACTTGTTCAGAAGGATCATGATCCGAATCATCCTCTTGGCGATATCATTAAGAAGATCAGATGTCTCATCATGAAGGATTGGGCTGTCACCTTCAATCATGTGTTTAGAGAATGTAACAAATGTGCGGATTGGCTTGCTCGACAAGCTACGAGAGAAAATTCAAACACTTTATTTTATGACATTCCAACTCCAGGGTGTCATCGGCTCATGGGTCTTGATTTGACCTAAGTTATCCTTTGCACGGTTCATCCGTGGCCTTGTATTTAAAAAAAATTAATGGTTCAATCATTGTCCAAAAGCTTTACCCTTTTAGCTGGGTAATTTATCAACTGTCTAATAGCCCAACTTGCACACTCCACTGCCATCATCGAGGGGGAGGGGAGTAACAGAATATTCAACTTGCTTTTCTCTTGTAATTTTTCTCAGGGCACCGTTTATCGAGGTTTGCTTTATTTGCATCTAGTTTTATAGAATAACCCAAAAGTTTTGGTGGTAATTAGCACTGGACAAACAGATTACGAGCTAGCTCGCATGGGTTGATATTTTTACAAGTTAGATTAGGCTAGCCCTTCAGATAAAACAGGTTAGAAAACTCAACCTAACCCATTTTTCAGCAGGCTAGCCAACTCGCGGGCTGGCCCGCAAAAATTTATCAATTTTTTTAATAATTTAAAATTTATATAATATAAACATATATTTATTTCACATTTTAAAGTAAATTAGCAATTAAATAACTTGTACATAAATAAAATAAACATAAAATTCAACCAAGCAAATTCATTTTGTTAAATTTTTACTATCAATTATCTTCTCACTTAAGTGTGTTATCTTTCTCAATAAGAAAGAAAATTTGAATGTAAACCCATATTATTTTTTTCAATGAATTTATATTTATATTTCAATCAATAGATCTTATGAGATTAATAAATAATATATATTCAAAATATTTTTATGAAAACTAATAAATTATTGATTTACAAATTATTGTTAAAATTTTATTTACAAATTGTAAAAAGAAGTTACACTATATTTCAAATGTAAAAAATATATTTGGGGGTCATAAATTGTATATTTAAGAAATATTATCACTATTGTAGATTTATAAACAGATATAATGTGATTAAAAAATAAAAAGTTATTTATTAAAAAAATATGCTAGCTCGCAGGCCAGCCTGTTTAACCAGCAGGCTAGCCCATTTTAGCCCGCTAATTTTATGGATTAAGCTAGCCCAGCCCATTTTAAAAAATAGATTAATTTGTTCAATCTAACCCGTCAAATTTTGCGAGTTAAACGGGTTAGCCCGCAGGCTCAATTCATTTGCCCGGATGATAACTGACTAGGCAATATGATGTATTTATTTATTATTAGTTTTGATTTGATTTGGATATTGTTTAATCCGAATCTCTCCTTGGCATAAGTTTCGTTTATTTATTAGGTTTAAATCCATAGTTTACATATATCTTAATAAATACTCTCTTTGTTAAAAAATATAGGACATTTTCAATCATATCTCACTCTCAATAAAGTAATTAACTACTTTTAAACTTATCTTATCTTTTTATATTTATTCTTATTAAATACCCTACAATAAATATAAAGTTATTCATCAATATTTAAAAAAAAGCAATAATTACACCTCAAAAAATTAAAAATGTCTTACATTTTTTAATATTTAACTTCTCAAAATACACCTAACATTTTTTTACGGAGGAAGTAGATGTTAATTTTTTTCCACCACTTTTTCACTTGTTTTCTTATGAATTAGAATAGATTTTGTGTGTTATATAAGTTAGAATTAAAAAAAAAGTATTATAGACAACATTTACAAAATTTCAATTTAAAAAACACTGTTGTCTTATTAGACAAAATGAACTTTTGTTCGATATATTTTCAATTTTAAAAAGAATAAATGTGACTTAAACCATATGCTAGATCATCCATTATAACAATATTTCTAAATTGAAGAAAATTCTAACAATATATTTATTTCTTTTTTGTTCCCTTAACTTGTACTTTCCAAATCTACATCCACAATCAATATTAAAAAAATAAGATTTTATGTAAAACAAAAATCAAGGTGAAATGTTTAAAATAAACTTACTGCAGATGATCATTTTACCACCCCATCACTATCATTTAGAGTTGCACAAAGGATTAGATGAGGCTAGACTTTGACCTAACTTGAAATTTGATCTCTTTCATAAAAATGACTAAGTTTGACAACCGGTAATCCAGCCTAGTTCTGTGATAACCCGAAGATTAACAAAATTAAACTTGGTCCATAAGATTGGGAGACTGATCCTGTTAATCCAATACTCACTTAGTTTTTTCTTTTTCCCTTTTTATCTATGATAAGTAATAATCCATTTCAACCTAATAAACTCAATTAAGATAATAAAAACACTTATAATAATAATAACTCCATAATATTTTAGTTACAGTCCAAGGGATCCAGATTATTAAATTATTAATATTCTTAACTTATTATTATAAATAATTAGTAAATTAATTATAATCATGTTAAATAAATTTAATAGGACCAAATTAGACCAAGTAATTCAAATACCCAGTCTCCTATCCAGTTCAATCCAAAAAAATAGTTTGGTCTTTTTAAGTCTTTTTAGTCCTAAATGACAAATTTTTAACAGGATTGGACAGGACCAAATCTTCTCGGGTTAG